ATGAGTTTTGAAACAATAGAGAAAAACAAATAAATGTATCAAAAAGTTGTCAGCCAAGTGTCTGAGTGTGAGGTTGTGTTCCCCCAATCAAGAAATTGTGTTGTCATTGCACATGAATTAAATTAGCTCCTAATGTCAAATGCCTAAAAAGGTGCAGTATGCCAGGGTATCCTGTAGTCAATAAATGTCAAGAAATATCCATTGAATTTGCAGCTTTCAATAAAAACCCTTTACAAGTCTGGACACAATTTTTTACCATCTTTAAAACCACTTTTATTCCTTTTAAACCTGCACAGGTTCATAAAGACTTATAGTTATATTAATGGACAAGAGTTCCATGTCTGGTACTTTAGTTAATGCTTTTTTTATGGCTATGGTATCAGATCACTGATTCACTAGCATCCCATATTCCCCTGTTCGTTAAAATCAAAGAAGTCAAATTGTTTAATTACATGTATCAATTCAACTAACTTTTGTGGGCAGTTACTCCCTCCACAACCCCAAGTTTTATAACCTGCTGCTTTACCAGGGATTTTTGGTATTTCCCCACATTGAGTTCCAGAGGTGGGCTGGAGAATGTCAGTCATAAAGGGCCTACAGACACTGCTTAAAAAGGAAATGATGATGACGACTAATAAGAACTTTTCTCTGATGACCAAGTGCCCAGGGAGCCTTTCAAGCTAATATGCTCTAAAAAGTGTAATAAAACTAGAGGGCAGATTATGTCAAGCGTTGAAAAAGTAGGGAGCTCACTGAAAGGCAAGAGTACAGATGGCAACAGCAGGAAATTGGAGACAGTTAAAAACAAAATAAAACTTGTTGCAACAGTTTGGTGAATATAATAGGTTAGTTAACTAAAAACACGTCATTTCTCCCAACTGGTCTAAAAACTTCATTTGCAAAATTAATTTGCAACAAAATAATTTTTGTCTAACACAGATAAAAATGTGCGAGAAAATGATTGCTCTGCATTTGTCCCAGAACATGTGACACACTCCTCCACGATCTATCTGTAAACCAGATTGTCGTCTTGCCTCTTCAAAGCCACCCTAAAATCTCTTGTTGCTTTTTCTAGAAGAGTGCTCCGCCCTGGGGAACTTTATCTCTGCCCCAAGAGCTCAAGATGAAAAGCTAGGGGAAATGGCAGCCATGCTGGTAATATCCTCACTCATCTGCTGACCAGCCGACTTTTATGCACAGCAGTCTCCATCTACTCAGTCCAGAACTTTGAATGGGATAATGATTGACAGGTTCTAGTTATCCTGCCAGGGGCTCAGCAGAACCAAATCTTCCATGCATTTCCATAAACCTTTTTTCTCACGGTAGATCAAATTATTGTATTATTATATGTTGTCTTTATCTTCTCTGAATCTCAGCCTTTTAATTATTCTTTAGCAGTACTTCCAAGTCTTTGATCCCTCTTTTTTTTAATTACATCAAATCAGACATCTTTAAGAGTTTATTCTTCCAATGTTTCTAATATCCCAGGCAATTTTTTTTCTTTCTGTTTTACAAGACACCCTCACTTTAATCATCTTTTTCTTTTTTCTCTTGCAGGTTTTCTAACATAGAAGATAGTCATGTGCTCAGTCTAGGACAACAGCAAAGTGTACTGAGCTTATGCTTAATATGGTGAAATCTTACTAACGTTAATTTAGTTTGGCTAAAGTATCCGTTATTTTCTGGGATGTCATTACATGACCTGGGTGAACAGCTGCCTCAAATTGACTTTATGGGCTTTGAAGCACTTTTTTTATTCCTCTGCAAACAACATTCAGATGTAAAACAAAACTACCAAATAAATATGCCTGATATTCATATCAATATCAGATTCAGATTATCACCTAATGTAGTATATGTTTGTAAGCA